GCAGGTGAGCGGGCAGGGTGGGCGCCCTGTGTTGCTGGCAGTCTGGGGGTTGTGTCTGACCCGGGCGGCTCCCCCAGCCTCCCAGGTGCCGCGCTACGTCCGAGTCAACACCCTGAAGACTTGTGTGGATGATGTGATTGACTTCTTCAAGCGCCAGGGATACTCCTACCTGGGCAAGGCAGGAAGGTAAGTGTTTCTTTCTGCCATCCCACCTTATCTGGGACCTCAGCAAACAGCAGGGTTAGGGACAAGGTCCTGTGTGCTGAAGGGTTGTTGGTCTTGGTGCTCATGGTGTCCAGGCTGGAGTCTGCATCACTCCCTACTCCTACTCTGCCTCCCTGGGTGCTGAGGTGGAGGTGTGGAGTGAAGGGGGTTCTCAGCCTGGGCTTTGGTGTGGGTGCAGTGAAGCACAACTGTGTGTTCATCCTCCCTGTACCTCCTGGGCAGTGTGGAGGAACTGAGGGACCTCGCCGGGAAGAAATTCTTTCTGGATCTTCACCTCCCGGAGCTGCTGGTTTTCCCCCCGCAGACGGACTTCCACAGCAACCTGCTGTACACTTCAGGACACATAATCCTGCAGGACAAGGTGCGGGAGCTGGGGACCAGAGGCTGCAGGGGCAGGAAAGCTGCTGACATGGGTTTGGAGTCAGCCCCTTCCTCCACGCTGTGGGCTGGGCTTGGGGCTGGCTGTGCACTTGATATCTAAGCAAAAACTGTGGGTGCAGGCGGCAGCTGTGGGGTGCTCTGAGCTTAGCACACCCTGTGGGAGCTGGGTGGTGGTGGCCTTGGCCCCGTGTTGCTGTGGCTACGTGTGATCCTGCAGCATCAGCCGTGCCCTGGGGCTGGGTGCTGCCCGCAGTGCTCACGGGCTGTGCCCTCCTGCAGGCCAGCTGCCTCCCTGCCTTCCTGCTCGACCCCGCTGCAGGTTCCCACGTCATCGATGCCTGTGCTGCCCCTGGGAACAAGACCAGCCACTTGGCTGGCCTCCTGAGGAACAAGGCTGGGGGGGCATGAAGGGGCACAGGGGGCCCTGATCCCCTGGCCCCACAGAGCATGAAGAGGTGACAGGCAGCAGTGCAGCCTCTCACCCTGCCCTGCTGATACCCACTTCTCCCTCAGTGGGCTGGGGGCTCCAGTCATGCTGGACCATCAAAAAGGGCCTGAGGGGACATGGAGCCACACGGGGTCTCAGTTCCCAGCCCCACTCTGCCCAGCACTGACTCTGTTCTGGGGAGCAGCTCCCCAGCTCTGCCCGCCCGGCACACGGGTGGCATTTGGTGCAGCTGGGACAGCCCACCACCCTCAGCATGGCTCCTGGGGCTGGTGGGGATTTTCATGCCTGTCCTGGGCTCTTCCTTCAGACAGATCTTTGCCTTTGACGTGGACACCAAGCGCCTGGCCACCATGAACACCCTGCTGATGCGGGCAGGGGTCACGGGCTTCCAGCTGGCCCAGCAGGACTTCCTGACAGTGGATCCCAGAGACCCCAAGTACAGCAAGGTGACCCATATCCTCCTCGACCCGTCCTGCAGCGGCTCAGGTAACACGGGGGGCCTCCGGCCGCGCCTCCCCGAGCCAGGAGGTGGGTGTGTGGGCCCTGCGTGACGGCCGCTCCCCCCGCAGGGATGGTGACCCGGCTGCCGCCCGAGGAGGCTGCCCCGAGCCCCGAGCGCCTGCAGGCCCTGGCCGGCTTCCAGCGCAGGGTCCTGAGCCATGCCCTGAGCTTCCCGGCTCTGCGGCGCCTGGTCTACTCGACCTGCTCGCTGCACCGGGAGGAGAACGAGGACGTGGTGCAGGCTGTGCTGCAGGAGCAGGGCTCAGCCTTCAGGTGTGCGGGGGGACACGGTACAGGGGGCTGTGGGGCCCGGAGGATGCGGCGTGGGGTGTCAAGGGGATACAGCGGGGTGGGGGGAACACAGCACGGGGCTCTAGGGGGCTCAAGGGACACAGTGTGGGGAGGGATGCAGCTTAAGGGGACATGGTGTAGGGAGCTTGGAGCTCAGGAATGCAGTGCAGGGAGCTGCAAGGCTCGAGGGGGATACAGCACACGGGGATGCAGTGTGGGGGGGATGCAGCATGAGGTGCTGTGGGGTTTGAGGGGATGCAACGTGGGGACCTGGTGTTGACCCATGTCCCTCCCCTGCAGGCTGGTGAACGCCTTCCCCTCCTGGCCCTGTCGAGGACTGGCTGCCTTCCCTGGGGCCGAGTGCTGCCTCCGCGCCTCCCCCGCAGACACCCTCACCCAGGGCTTCTTCGTGGCCGTGCTGGAGCCATGTGGGGAAGGGGCTGCTGCCCCCAGGTGAGAGGAAGGCTGAAGGCTCTGCCTGCCTCCTGCCTGCTTCTGGGGGGGCCATGGCCCAGCTTGGTGCTGCTGGGTCTGCTGAGGAGGGGGCTGGAGGCTCTGGCAAGGTGGGACAAGGGTAAGGGCTGTGGGGCTCAGGCTGTTCACTCCTGTCCCCAGCTCCCTGCTGGCAGCAGCCAAGGACAGCCTGCAGCACAGAGAGTCGATGGAACCAGCAGCAGCTCCCAAGAAGAGGAAGAGGAAAAAGAAGCAGGTGAAGGAGTGAGAGAAAGGAAATTGTGAGTGCAGCACCCAGCCAGGGCTGATGGGAAACGCTCCTCAGCACTGCTACTGCCACGGTGACATTGAAGCCTCAGCACAACAAAGCTGCAGCTGTGGTGGGACCCTGTAACACCCTGCTCCTCCAGCACATCATCTAATGCCCCAAGCCCCTGGGACACTCGGCTCCTCTGGGACCAAGTGCCATCTCCAGAACACCCCCTTGCCAGGGGCAGGACTGCTGGCCCTTGCAGCCCCTAGACCCCAAAATCGGCACGTGTCTCACACACCCCCTCTTTCTGTGTCCTGGGAGACTAGAGGGCTCCATCTGGATGAAAGGAATTATTTTATCATGTTCCCCTACCCTCCAAAAAAAAAAAAAGAAATCCTCACCCCAGTCCAATGTGGGATTTCAGCAAAGCTTTTGACTGTCAGGATGACACAATAAAGTTTTGGGTTTTTTTCCTCCCTTCACTGCCTTCCCCAGCACCTTTGTGCAGTCCTGGCCCTCCTCAGGCTCAGGAACCAGCCACAGGCAGGGCCAGTGTGAACACAGTCTTTATTTTAAACCAGGGACAGAAGAAGCAAGGGAAAAAAAAAATAATAATTGCACATTCACACTAAAATCCTCATCAGCCACACCAGGAATGATCCAAGTCTTGAGTTTAAACCCAGCCTCCCCCTGGGCACATACAGAAGCCAGGGCACAAGGGTCTCTCCCAGCAGGGTCTGGCTCCTTGCTGGGCCCACAGGCTCTCAACGGGGCTGCTATGTCGGGGGCACCCCCCGGGGGTCAGCCCCCCCAGCCAGTGCCCCTCAGGGTACCTTCCCCTTGCACCCTGCTCATCACCATCTCCCTCTGCCGTAGGGTCTTGCTGGAACAGAGCTGGCCAAGCCCTGTCCCACTCACCCTGAGCTGCTCTCCTGCCCTGTGGCACTGTCACCCCTGGAGCTGGGGACGTGTTTGCCCAGGCCAGCTCCTCCTGTCCTGCTCTGACAGACCCTTACACCCCCCTCCTGGGCCAAACTGGTCAGGGAAAGCTCTAAACCCCCAACCCCACCAGCACAGGCAGCAGGTGCTGCCCTCCTGCAGAGCCCTGTCACCCACTGGGAGAGACTCCTCGTTCTGGCAGAGCCTGTAACGTGCGAGAGCTCCTGCTCCTCACCCGTGGAGAAAGAATGAAAAATAAACAGGTTTAGTCACATCCACATACATCAATCACATTTTAAAACGAAGGAGATGCTGCTGCAGGCCGGGGGAGCACGGGAGGACCTGGCTACCCTGCCCCAGCTCCACACCGGCCCAGCGAAACACACCGACAGCGCTGCGGGGTCTGGCAACCTCACTGTACCAAGCTTGAAGGAATTTGAAGGCAATTTAGCTTAAATATAAAAATAAATCTTTACTTTGTTAAAAAATGTTTAAATAGTTGTCTGTGACTTTTTTTTTCTTTTTTTTTTTTTTCTTTTTTTTTTTTTAATTTAGACTCGGCAGACACACACAGTCACACGGCTTGGAGAGTAAAAAAACCCGGCAGCAAATCACTCCTGGAAGTGGTGGGAAGCCCATGGGCAAGGGGTGCCTGTCCCATTGCCCAGGGCAGGGTGGGGGGCAACTCTCTGGGTAACCCCTGACTCTGGCAGTCTCTTTCCATAGGAGCTACCAGGCAGGGAATGATTGGATAGGAAAAGGGGAGGCAGCACCGCAGCTCCTGGGAGCTGGTAAAACCCAAAAGGATGGGGACAAGCTAAAAATGGAAAACCCAGATTTGGGGGGGGGGAGAAGGGGGGGGAAAACACCTGCTCTGTACTCCATTAGAAACTCCAGAGCACCCCAAGACGGGGGAGGGCACTAGGAGAGAAGTGGAGAGAGAAGAGAGACTGCCATAGAAGGGTGGGGAACACACCTGCTCTGTACTCCATTAGAAACTCCAGAGCACCCCAAGACGGGGGAGGGCACTAGGAGAGAAGTGGAGAGAGAAGAGAGACTGCCATGGCCAGAGCCCCCCATGTTTGGGGTTCCAGGCCCCATCCCCTCCACCCCAGCTGCCGGCCCATCCGTCACTGTGACGAAGGGACAACTCACCCAGCACGAGTAGCCACGCAGTGATGCTACTGTCAACACCCAATTAGCCAGGGCACGTCCCCCCCAAAAAAGGGATGGGTGCCCCCAAAAAAAGAAACTCCAAACAGCAAATCCGGCATAACCAACATGCCGCCACGCACACGGGTCAGATCTTCCTCCAAACTCTTTTCAGTGAGTGCACGGAAACGGGAGCATGAATAAAGCGAAACG